GGTTAGGTAATTTGGGTAAAGGTGTTTGTGTGTGCTCGCGGGGGGGGGAGGAGGGGGTGGGGACTTTGTCTCCACCCAGAAACTCTTTGAACCTTCTGCTTTAGAAGCCGCTTTAAGACCGCAAGTAGGTGAAGCATGCCGCTGGAAATGATTTTTACTTTCTTTGAGACTCCGTCTCCCTTCTTCAGATGTGGCGTTATCCAATCATTGTTAGACAAGCCGTGACTATGGGAATGTGAGAAAGTGCATTAATAAGTTAGCAACTCATGAGCAAACAATGAAAACTAAAAATCAATAATTCGAAAGGGTTTTTAAGTTTCAGTATTGGCACTCGATTATTGGTTAAAAAACAACAACACCCAATTGTATCACAACGTATGCCGCCCCCCCCCACACCTTCAGAGAAAAAACTCAAAATAACAATCCTTTTTCAAAATGGAGAAAAGACTTACTCGATTGTTCTTTTTCAGTCCCCATCTGCTTTTGTTACCTTGCCGGCTCACTTTCCCTGAACTCTAAATAGCTGCTCCAGTCTGTTTGTCTGACTTGTGCGACACTCATTTATTTATGTCAAACTTGTTTTAAGATATGACTGCTTTGTACAAGCTCACGAACCAACACTCTCTCTCTCACACACACACACACACACACACACACACACACACACACACACACACACACACACACACATACACACACACACACACATTGCTAAAGATGGTCAACTTTAACTTTGGCCGATGTTATTATGATTATGCACTGCACTTACCATGGCCAGGGCAATGGTTTGGTTTTATATTTGAGTAAAGTCACTGGATTTAGAACAACTGACCTAAAAAAAGTGTGTTTGCTCATCCTTAGTTACCTTCACCGCTTGTCAAAAGCTCGGAGTACGGTTTCAAGTCTGAGTGACGTCTAATTTGTTATATTCTTTTTTGAGTATTATTCTCCATATATTCTTTAATTTTGAGGGCGGACAAAGAGGGAGGGATAGATTCTAAGTGTGCGAGGAAGACAAAATAAAATTGTATGTATAGCTTCATTGTGTTTGAGCAAGAATTAGAGTTCAGTATGAACGAACAAAAGACATTTTGTGAGATTGTTGTCACATGCATAAAGAAAGTGCGGGTTTTTAAATATTAAGTTTTAGTCTTGGCGTCTAACGTGATCCCAAAAACTCCCAGAAAAAGGATGAGTATCTATACCTCGTCATTTCGCTTGGTTCTGCATGAAATGGACGAGATATTGCAGTTTCCAACTTGGAACTAAGACATACAGCATTAGGCTAACGCTCGTATCCGAAAACTATCGCTTAAAACAAAACAGATACCACTGCATCAATGCGCTTTTTTTTTTTTACTTTAAAAGAATTGCTTACACTACACTAAAATCAAAATCAAATGCCTTTTCATAAATGTGTGCTTTTTAACAAATCAGTTGTTTGAATTAAAACAATTATTGTTTTCACTTTAAAGAACTGAATTCCAGAAGCGTACACACAGCATCAGCAACAAAATCGTACACGTATTTACAACAACAACAAAAAAAGAAAAAGAAAAAAGAAGTAAAAAAAAAGGAAGAATGGGAAATACGCAGAGCATTGCAGACTTCCAACATTCTTGAGGGTGCAGCCCTGCGGTTGGTGGAGAGAGAGAGAGAGAGAGATGCTCAAAACACACGGGTCGACACGAAAGGTCAGGGGAGGAGAGACATTGAAGCTAGTAAAGGTTAAATAATCAACATTTGTAGCTTAAAAGATCTCTCCATAAACAATCATATTTTTAATCGATACTCTAGGTTTGTATCTTTCCTGTAAAACAGAAGTAACTTTAGTAAAGACAATGCAAAAACAACGGATTAAAATGTGGCCTCTAATACATATAGAAATCCAACGTTAGGACAACACTATAATATTAACGCAGAATTCTCACTCAAAATTCCAGTCACGTCACCACGCGTCGACACACACACACACACACACACACACACACACACACACACACACACACACACACACACACACACACACACACACACACACACGCTCACACACATTCACAAATATACAAACACACACACACGCTCACACACACACACGCTCACATACACACACACGCACACACACACACACACACACACACATATATATATATATAGATAAATAGATAGATATATATATATATATATATATATATATATATATATATATATATATATATATATATACCAACTCCACCCCACCCCCCTCTCCCTCTCTCTCCCATAATAATCATATACGCACTACGCACCCCTCATCTTTGCCGCTGTGAATTCAGTGCTGTGTAAGAAAGTCTAAAGAACCACACTCAAACAAGCAGAACATTCCGTGACTAACTGACTCTCACTCGTGCCGTGCAAAGTGTGCAGGTTTTCCTATTCTCGGCAAAAGGATAATGAACGAAACAAAACGAGAAACGGAAGCCACAAATACGGAACTAAAAACGTAATAAATCATATTATTGTCTCTCTTCTAACGCTGTGCCACAAATCGGCATCGGCTCGTGTGACCCCCGAACACTTCAATTCCCTGTTAATCTGATAAAACACATAACAAATACCATCTGGTTTCCTCCAAGCTGCAGGAATTATTTCAACGTCTATCTTTTCTTTTTTACGTTTATCTATGTCCTCACTCTCTTCTTGCACATTATGCAATGCAGGTTGCATGCAACTTCGTATAGTTTCAAGGGGTAAATCTAAGCTACTTTAATACATTTTCTTCTGGTACGCATCATCCCCTTTTACCTGTCAAAACTGGTAAAGATAATA